CCCGTGTCCCCTGCATCGGCAGGCGGACTCTCAACCACTGCCACCAGGGAAGCCCTGTGTCAGTTTTAACTGTTACAAATGTTTGTTAACCCTGCGGGTCAGGTAGGCAGTAGGATCTGTCTGTGGTGAGATGTCGCCTGTGTGCATACCAGTCTGTGAACTCAGCCCAATGACCTCCAGGGTCCTCGTTGGCCTTGACACTTGAGGAATCCACGTGTCACCCACAGCTTGCAGAGAACTTTCCTTTCTGTAGTAGAATTGGGCTCACTTTGTCTTTGGTGTTAACAATTATTTGCATTGCAGGCTGAGGGTCTGGGCTCCCAGCGGGAGGCACTAGAGGGAGATAGGAGGGCAGGGAGAAGGGAGAGGCCACAGGGCATTTCTCCCTCGCCTTCCCCTCCCTGTCAGGTCTCAGGAAGCAGGAGCTTCTCTGGGGCTCCAGTTCTTGCTAGCCAGGCCACCATGGTTTTGGTTCTCACCAAGTGATCCAGGTATCTGAGCTCAGGTAAAAGATCACCCTCCCTCTACCTCTGTAGGGCTCTTACTAACCTCAGGGTTGCTTCACTGTCCCTGTTGGGCATCTCAGCTGTTTTATGATCTGTGAAATCAGTTCTCTGAATCAAGGTGCCTCTGTTCAGAATACTGCAGTCATTTGGTTTTCTCTTAGCCCCTTAAAGTACAGTGTCACCTGCCACTGATTTGGTGTCTCCAGGGATAAATGCAGCTCCCTGATCAGCGTCTTCCCTCAACATTTGACAAGAATATGGAGCCATACGGGATATTGTTACCAGGCTGAAGCAGATCATTTAACCTGAATGAACCTCAGTTCCTGCAACTGTAGAAAGGGTATCAAGATATCTTCCACATCCACTCCCAGAGTTGCTAGAAATATTAAATTGTTTAAGAAACATGAAAATGATTTGTAAACTAATACACCCTACAAACGTAGTAATATCATTATGTTGGAACTCATTTCAGCTCCACTCTGACTAGCTTCGTGGTCCCAGCTCACTTAACCTCTCTGATGCTAATCATGAGAGAAAATAATAATCCACGTCTTATAACATTGTTTTGAAATTTAAAGGAGAAAACCAATTATAAATTGTTCAACAAAATACCTAGCACTTGATTGTTAGCGTTCCCTTAGTTTTCCAGGTAATTTGCGTTAAGTTACTTAACCTCTCAACCACTCTGAACCCTGAAAGTCCTCAGCTGTAAGATGAGAATGACAGTGCCTTATGTGACAATTAATTAAACAGTCGAAGATTCTTGTAATCTTTTTTTAAAAAATATACAAATTCAGGGTGCTGTTATTGTGAAGAGACCCTCTTTCTGAAATGATCTCTCTCTTCCTAGAAAGAGTCTGGTTCAGAAACCATTGTTCACTCTCCTGGGTGAATGAATATATTACACAGGGTGCCCCATGTAGCTCAAAGTCAGGCTCAACCAGATGTTCAGGGCTGATTCCAGGCACCTGGTGGGGAGGCCCATGCTGCTGCGGACCTTATCAGGTCCTTCTGCACTTCTTGGGGAGGGAGGAAGATGCACAGCTCTCTGTGTGGGGTTGGGTGGGTCTTGTGTGTACTGAGAGCAGGACTGATATTAGTAATGGACATCTTTATGGGATTTGTCTCCAGCCTGAGCACATTGATTAGGACCCCACTGCCTGGCTTGGAATCCTTACCCCACCTCTTGCCACTGTATCTTGGGCACGTTACTTAACCTCTTGTTTTCATCCGAAAATGAAGATAAAAACACTTACTTCTTCACAGGGTTGTTTAAAATAATAACGTGACACATAGAAAGTACTCAGTTAGGTTGATCATTATTATAATTATTGTTGTTTTCTTATAGTGAGAAAGCTGGCTTCCAAAATCAGCATGTATACCAACCACAGCAGGTGGCAAGAGAAAAAAAACAGCCTTGCAAAGGACCTTGCAAATCTCATAGCAAGAGGCATTCTTGCAACATCTCTGTCTGGGACTTGAACTTGACCAGGGTTCCAACTGAATGTTGAAAACTGCTATTTGTGGCCACTGGCTGAAATCCTCATCTAGTTACTGACCCACGTGGGAGCACAAGCTAGCTGAATGTGGGGTGAGGGAGGGCCATTATTTTGTTACACGTAACAAGGAAATGCACTCAAGATGTTAAATTTGAAGAATCACATGTGCTAACAGTGTTAATTTAGGTGCTTTATTTTCTGCAGAAATAGAACTCTATTTAAATTCAGCTCCCTGGAAAATCAGAATAGTTGGATAATATCCATCTCTCAGAGCTAAATTTTCATAGTGATCCAGTGGTTCAAATGAGAAGTTACAGACATAGATGCTGTGAAAACAGGCAGTACCTGTTGGAGAACCACCTTCAGACAATGTGGCGCAACCTTCCTCCAGGATGGATATATATAGTTAGGCTAGGTTCTCATCTCTCTAACCAGCTATGGCTACCATATTCCTTTTCATTAGAGTAAAGCCAGGCTTCACTCCACGGCCTCCTTTCCCACAAATCCTTATAGAGGGCCTACTATATATATGTGTAAGACGTGGTCTTAGATGCTGGGAGATACAGCGGTACACAATACAGACAGTCCCTGACCCCATGGGGCTTACGATTGCAGTTGGAGATTGAACACACTATTATTCCATTACAATTTCCATTGTAATTATATTCCACTATAATTCCATTGTAATTATAATTACAATATACTATGTTGTGAAAATACAAGGGCCTATAAAAATATCATGGGGAACCTGTTTTAAACTGGGATCCTCTCTGAGGAAGTGACTTTTAGGTTGCGACCTCTTGGGTGAGTGGGGATTCATTGGGCAGAGACCGGAAAGGAATCCCCCAGGCAGAGGAAGAGGCAGGTACGGAGGCCCTGAGGCAAGAATGACCGTGGCGTTGAAGGAAATAGCAGAAGGCCAGTGAGGAGGTGCTCTGGGTATGGCCGGAAAAGCAGGAAGAAACCCAGTGGTGCCTGGACCATCACAGCTAAGTTAAGAACTTGGTGAATGACAGCGTTTAGGCGGGGGATTAATTAACGTGATTAATTTATATAGGATGCTCTGTGTATGTTCCCTGGGCAGCACAGCCTCATTCACAGCTTTGGTTGCCTCTTATGCTGATGCATCCTAACTGAGCCAGGCCCCTGCTGAGTCCAGACCCATGTGTCCAACTGCACAATGGACAGTTTGCTCATCTGTAACAGGAGACAGATAAACCAGTGGATTTGTAAGCGCCCTTCCAGCTCTAGTGTCACCTGTCTTTGAAGTTCATGGGAAGGCAAGATCATTCAGGAGGAAGAGGTAGAGTTAAGCTCAGCCTTAAATGATGGTAGACTTATGGGGGCTGGGCTCCCTGAATCAAACTGGATTCCTTTCTCTGCAGCCATTCCTTTCTGGCCGTGGACTTTTCTGCCTCGGGGAACAAGCTGAGAACATGCTCACTCAAGACTCAGACACACCTGCAAAACCCTATATTTAGATTACAAAAGTAGGTTGAACTAATTTGGGGTAGATGAAATGAACTTGCTGTCAGAGCACCATCATTGGACTAATGGTTCCAAAATCCAACTCCCTGTGAGAGCTTTCAGATCTTCGGAAATCTGGGTCCTGCCAGAGTCTCTGGCCTCCTTTCTTGGCATGCCCTGCTGGACAGTTCTTGCTCCAGTGGCAGTGAACTACTTATATTTTTCACCATCATCATAAAGTTCTTCAGCTCTTTGCTTTTACCCCTAGGGTGCCCGCTACCTGAAATTGCCTTCCCTAAACTATCAGAGCATTTACTACATCCTATAATGATTATGTAATTCTTCTCACCATCCAGCGAGACTGCCCGTATCTTATTAATCTCCAAGTCTGTAGCACCTGGCAGAGGTTTTCAGTAGATGTTTATTCGATGAATCAATGCATCGGTGACTGAATGTCCAGTTGGATGATCTGTAAGCACCTCAAATTCAGCTTGGCCTACCCAAACTTGTAAACAGACACCCATGTCCCCCAGACTAGCCTAGGTGGTCCTCTTCCATGCTCCCACACTGCCCTGGGGCGCCTCTCCCCTTAAACATGTCGCCAGGTTATAACCTGTTTTCCTGGCTACTTCTGTTAGACCATGCCTCCTGATGTCAGGGACCATGTCTTTCATCTCTTTAGTTGTTGGCTGAATGAATAAAGGAAGGAAAGAAAACAAAGGAGAGAGCCAGCCAGCTCTTTCTCCCGTGAGAATCGGTCATTGGTTTCTTCATTTGTAAGAGAAGGAGCTGCACTGAATGACTTTTGACGGCCCTGTTCTGAGTGTGACACTAACCTACAAATGTCTGTCAGAAATAACTACCTCAGTAGCTACAGAAAGAGGTTTAAAAAATACCCAATTCATCCCCTGTGGAGCATAGAGCCTTGTGGCAAGCATTAGACCAGAGTTTGGGGATTTGAATTCTGGTTCCAGCTTCACCACTCAGCAGCTGTGTGGTCTTGGGCAACTCAGTCTCTCTGGTTCTTCATTTCCTCTTTGGTAAAATTAGTTTGATTGGGTGAACCTTGAAACCTCTTTCAGGCTGAAATTCTGTGACTCACAGAGTGACATTTCTGGAATTTAAAACATTTTAAGTGGCAAGACTTAGTGGGACCTCCCAAGAAGGCTGGGTCTGGTCTCTGCTATGACAGACGGAGCCAGAAAGAGCAAAATACCCCGAGTTTACGTAACACAATTTGCTACTGAAGGCTCTTTGGAAGTGTCACACTCACTAAGGGGAGGGCCTCATAGCAGTCCTCAGAATTAGTAGGCACAGTGCCCCAAAGTCAAGGCCAGTTTGTGGCCTCTCGATTCTTGGTCTGGTGCAATTTCCCTTGCCCCATGTGGAGGGAAGTATATGAAATTGGCACTCAGGGTTTATGTTCAGATTTCCCTGACCCTTTCTCACTACTCGCCTTCAATTTTGCATTACAAAAACAATAGGTGTTTTTGCATTCTAGGTATAAGATTATAATGTTAAGTGTACTTTTTCAGACTGTATAGGCCACTCACAGGCCTACCATCCTCTAGAGATTCATTATATCCCCTTGGAAGTTGAATCTTCAGTCTAAGATGTTGTAGGAAGACCTGTTTGACCAGCCCGGGGCAGCCAGGTCCTCTATCATGTGTCTATTTTTTATAATCATTAGTAAGAGAGGCACCTCCTTAATCAATAAATAAATATCTTTTGAGCATCTAACATGTAAAGCTCTGGGATATAGTTTCCGTCCACAAAGACCTTCTAGCAGATTTTTCAAACTGTACTGGTGCTCCATTACCAGATAGTAAAATTAATATAGATCAAGGTTTTTTTTCTTTTAGTGGACTAGACTAAAATTCACTTGAATAGAGCAGAACAGAAATAAATAGGATAGAAAGAAAAGGCATGTCGCTGTGGAGAACAGTATGGAGGTTCCTTTAAAAACTAAAGATAGAGCTACTATGTGATCCTGAAATCCTACTGCTGGGCATATATCCAGAAAAAAACATAATTCGAAAAGATACATGCACCCCAATGTTCACTGCAGCACTATTTACAATAGCCAAGACATGTAAGCAACCTAAATATCCATCGACAATTGAATGGATAAATGAGGTGTAGTGTATATACACAATGGAACATTACTCAGCCATAAAAAAGAATGAAACAATGCCATTTGCAGCAACGTGAATGGACCTAGAGATTATCATACTAAGTGAAGTAAGTCAGACAAAGATATACATCATATGATATCGCTTGTATGTGGAATCTTTTAAAAAATAATACAAATGAACTTATATACAAAACAGAAATAGATCCACGGGCATGGAAAACAAATTTATTACCAAAGGGTAAGGTGGGGGGAGGGATAAATTAGGAGTTTGGGATTAACATATACACACTACTATATGTATTAAATAGATAACCAACAAGGACCTACTATATAGCACAGGGAACTATACCCAATATTTTATAATAACTTATAAGGGAACGGAATCTGAAAAAGAATATATATATATATATATCTCTGAATCACTTTGCTGTAACTAACACAACACTGTAAATCAACTATACTTCAATTAAAAAATAATAATAATAAGACATGAATCATAATGCATCCAGTCCATAAGGGTAAAGTGTTATTTTGTGAAACTTTGCTTCAAACGTCTATGTTCATGATAGGGTGTGGTGTAAAAATGTATTTCTTGTTATGGATTGTGGGGTTTTTTTAAGTTTGAAAGCACTGCCTTACAGTATGTTCAGGAATACAAATTTTTTTCATATGAGACATCAAATGGTGATGAGGAGGAAGAGGGGTGAAAGAGAGCTCTGTGGGTCTATAGGGAAAGGGTAATGACCTTAGGACAGAGACTCAACACAGAGAGGGGATCACTGCCAAGGAGGAAGGGTTTGGGGGGGAAGTGACAGCGCAGCTGGTCATTGAGGGGCAGATTGGGAAGAGGAATTGCATCTGGGAGTACAGTGTGGAAAGAACTACTCTGATTCTTCTTGAATTGCAGCCCTTCTACTAGACTGAGGCTAATCTTGGGGCCATAGAGTTTTGTGGGATGGTTGCTGTATTTCTTTGTTTCCTCCTTCGCAATTTTCTCTTCTCTTTTCCTGGGTCTCCTATTATTCAGAGGTTGGATCTCTTGGCTTGATCCTTTGATTTTCTTTTCTATTTTCTACTTCTTTGCCTATTTACTTGACTTTCTAGAATATTTCCTTCAATTTTCTCTTCCAGCCTTTCCACTGAATTTTTCCTGTCTGTTATATTTTTAATTTCCCAGAGCTCTTTGATCTCAGAATGGTCTATTTTTATAGCATTTTGGGGATGTTCTTGGTGGTTTGGGTTGTAATATCTTCTATTATTTCTCTGTGAATATTGATTATATGAAGTTTTTTCTGCTCTCTCTACATCTGTAAGAAATCTCAGAATCTGTTTGTCATGGCCCTTCATACTCTGGCCTGTCTCTTCCCTGTCACCATGGTTGGGCTCCTTATGGAAGGTTCCTTAGCAGTTTGTGCCTCTGGTAACTGGACTTTCACTGTTTCTAGAGTCATCACAGATTGCTACTTTATATCTCTTAAGTGCTGCATATTCTCTGCCTCTAGGGAGAGGTCTCCTATGAGGAGAGGGCCTGTGAAGGTGGGAAGTTTGCCACAGTGGAAGTGACTGATAAGCCTGTGGATGAGGCTCTACGGGAAGCAATGCCCAAAGTCATGAAGTATGTGGGAGGCACCAATGACAAGGGTGAGTGTCCCTGAAGGATTGGCTCTGGTCTCATAGGCCAGGGCTGCATAGTCTCACGTCCTCAATGGAAAACACAGGGAGGGACCACAAGGCACCTGTCACTGCCTGTTTCAGTGGCACACAAACTTGCTGTGCTCCGTGGGCAGGGAAGCCCTGGGGAGACCCACTGACTTCATGCCAGTCTCCCCCGACTTTGTGGGATCCCCACTCAGTAGCACTGAGTTCATGCTTCTCTTCCAGGTATGGAGACACAACGCTGATTGTTTCTTTATTTGTTATTTTTTAACCCTACAGTGTTTATCATGTCTTTGGATTGGTGGACTGGGTAAGGTGTGCCCACAATAAGCCAGGCCACAGAACAAGGCCAGCTTCTGATATGAGACCTCTGCCCCCAGGCTGGAGATCTCCAGAGTCAGCCCCCTGGTAGCTCAGATTGTGTGGGGATCAGTGAGTGACGATTATGGAGGGTCCCTGGCTCTGTTCTGGCAAATAAAGAGCCTGAGAATTCTTAGGCTGCTCCCCTCTTAAAGTCTTGGCAGTCCATGGGAATTCCCTGGCGGTCCAGTGGTTAGGACTCAGCGCTCTCACTGCCGGGGGCCCAGGTTCGATCCCTGGTCAGGGAACTAAGATCCTACAAGCCGTGTGGCATGGCCTAAAAATAATAAACAAACAAACAAACAAACAAATAAATAAAAAGACTTGGCAGTCTGTGCTGGCTGCCTCCCTGTTTTTAAAATGAGAGGCCTGAAGTTTCAGTGTGCCTATTAGCATGTAAACCATATTTAAATACGAATTTAACTCTTTAGCTCTCTAATTTGTCCTGCACTTTGGAATCAGTGCAAACCCAAAATCGGTCAGAACACAAGGTGAAAAAAGAGACAATGTGTTGAATTTTTAGGATATATCTCAAGTTGATAATTGAGAAAGTTAGAAACTAGTACTAACCTTAGTAACATTTACTAGGACCAAAGTAATCAGGCTTTGGACATAAGTTGACCAGTAGGAGGTCAAGAAGAGATCTCTTCCTTCTTAGCACTGTCATAACATTTTCTTTAGAAGAAAATGTGTAAAAATTATAAACTCATTAAAAATTTTTGAAAATAACAAAACAGCACCCCTAATCCATCTTTTCTAATATAATCATTGTTGTCTTCAAATGTATTTTTTAGGGCTTTTTAATAGGTTTTTAAAATGTAATCATAGTGTTTGTGCAATACATCCTGCTTCTGTCACTTATTTCATAATTATTTTATATTGTAGCTAAATAGTCCTAAGCATAACTATTAATAGGTAAATCAAATTGCATCATGTGCCTATCATTTACTTAGACATATTCCTATTTTGAACATTTATATGAATCCCAATTTTTCACAATTATAAATTCTGCTGCAAGGAAAATCCTATTACCTGTAGCCTTTTCCGTATTTTGGGTCATTTCACTAAAATCAACAATTAGATAGGAAGTAATTAGATACTGATATATTTACAGTCTTAAATATATATTACCAAATAATCTTTTCCAGACGAGTTGAATCACTATGCTCTTACCTCCAATATACACAAATAAGAGGTGTTTTGTCTGTGTCTGATGATATGTTTTAATGCCTGAAATACTTATTATGAATTTCAAGAACAACAAATATTGTCTTGGAAGAAGAATGAGACCAGCAGATGGTCCATGGGCCTGAGCAGGTTCTGTCTCTAACACCCACGTCCCTCTGTGGGGTTTTGTGTTTTCAGGAATCGGGATGGGGATGACAGTTCCTATTTCCTTTGCCGTGTTCCCCAGTGCCGATGGGTCCCTACAGAAGAAATTAAAAGTCTGGTTCCGGATTCCAAATGAGTTTCAAAGCAACCCACCAGCTCCCAGCGATGACAGCATTAAGATCGAAGACAGGGAAGGCATCACTGTCTATTCCACGTAAGGAAACTATTCTTTAGGCATACACGGGTAGCACTTGAATCATCTGCAGTGAGCATTTGCATTTTCTTTTTCCAGTTTTGGGATGGAATTGACATATAATATTGCATTAGTTTAAAATACAACATAGTGCTTTGATATATGTTTATCTTATGAAATGATTACCACCATTTAGTTAACATCGTTCATTAAACAAAGTTACAAATTTTTTTCCTGAGATGAGAAATTTTTTTTTTTTTTTACAAATTTATTTATTTATTTGGCTGCATTAGGTCTTCATTGCTGCACGCAGGCTTTCTCTAGTTGCGACGAGCAGGGGCTACTCTTCATTGTGATGCACGGGCTTCTCATTGTGGTGGCTTCTCTTGTTGCAGAGCATGGGCTCTAGAGCACAGGCTCAGTAGTTGTGGTGCACGGGCTTAGTTGCTCCACGGCATGTGGGATCTTCCCGGACCAGGGCTCGAACCCGTGTCCCCTGCATTGGCAGGTGGATTCTTAACCACTGCGCTACCAGGGAAATCCCCATGAGAAATTTTAAGATCCACTCTCTTAGTAACTTTCAAATATATGATACAATGTACAATATTGTTAACTGTGGTCACTGCTGTACATTACATCCCCAGAACTAATTTATCTTATAGCTGGATGTTTCTACCTTTTGACCACCTTTAGCTAGATCTCCCACCCTCCACCTCCCCACCCTCTGGCAATCACCAATCTGTTCTCTGTATCTGTGAGTTCAGTTGTTGTTTTTTTTAATTCCACATATGAGTGAGATTATACAGTATTTCCCTTTCTCTGACTTATTTCATTTAGCATGATGCTTTCACAGTCCAGCCATGTTGCTGCAAATGGCAAGATTTCCTTCTTTTTATGGCTAAATGATATTCCATTGTATGTATGTACCACATCTTCTTTATCCATTCATCTGTCTATGGACCCTTACATCATTTCTATACCTTGGCTGTGGTAAATAAAGCTGCAGTGAACATAGGGGTGCTGATACCTCTTCAAGCTAGTGATTTCATTTCCTTCAGATATATACTCATAAGTGGAATTGCTAGATCATATGGTAGTTCTATTTTTAATTTTGTGAGGAACTTCCATACTGTTTTCCATAGTGGCTGCACCAATATACATTCCCACCAGCAGTGCATAAGGATTCCGTTTTCTCCTCATCCTTGCCAGCACTTGTCACTTCTTGTCTTTTTCATAATAGCCATTTTAACCAGTGTGAGGTGACATCTCATGTGGCTTCAATTTTCATTTCCCTGCTGATTAGTGATGTTGAGCACCTTTTCATGTACCTCTTGGCCATTTGTATATCCTTTTTTGGAAAAATGTCTATTCAGATCCTCTGCCCACTTTTTAATCTGATTGTTTGGGGGTTTTTTACTCTCGAGTTATATTAGTTTTTTATATATTTTGGATATTAACCCATTACATATATACGATTTGCAAATAATTTCTCCAATTTAATATGTTGCCTTTTTATTTTGTGGATGGTTTCCTTTTTCTGTGCAGATAGCTTTTAGCTTGATGTAGTCCCACTTGTTTATTTTTGCTTCTGTTGCCTGTGTTTTCAGAGTCAAATACAAAAAAAAAATCATTGCCAAGACCAATGTCGGGGAGGTTACCCTCTATGGTTTCTTCTAGGAATTTTACAGTTTCAGGTCTTATGTTCAAGTCTTTCATCCATTTTGAGTTGATTTTTGTGTATGGTGTAAGACAGTAGTCCAGTTTCAATCTTTTACATGTGGCTATCCAGTTTTCCCAACACCATCTATTGAAGAGACTGTCCTTTCCCTGTGGTACATTCTTGGCTTCTTTGTTGTAAATTAGTTGACCATGTATGCCTGGGTTTATTTCTGGACTCTCTGTTCTGTTCCATTGATCTTTGTATCTGTTTTTATGCCAATACCATACTGTTTTGATTATGATAGCTTTGTAATATAGTTTGAAATCAGGAAATGTGATGCCTTCAGCTTTGTCCTTCTTTCTCCAGATTTCTTTGGCTATTCAGGGTCTTTTGTGGTTCCATACAAATTTTAACATTGTTTTTCTATTTCTGTAAAAAATTCCATTGAAATTTTAATAAGGATTGCATTAAATCTGTAGATTGCTTTGGGTAATATGAACATCTGAACAATATTAATTCTTCTAATCCATGAGCATGGAATATCTTTCCATTTTTTTGTGTCTTCTCCAGATTTTCCATTAATGTCTTAATAGTTTTTGGTGTAAAGATCTTTCATCTCCTTGGTTAAATTTATTCCTAGGTATTTTGTTCTTTCTGATGCAATTGTAAATGGGATTATTTCTTTTTTTTTTTTTTTTTTTTTTTTTTTGTGGTACGTGGGCCTCTCACTGCTGTGGCCTCTCCCGTTGCGGAGCAACAGGCTCCGGACGTGCAGGCTCAGCGGCCATGGCTCACGGGCCCAGCCGCTCCGCGGCATGTGGGATCTTCCCGGACTGGGCACGAACCCGTGTCCCCTGCATCGGCAGGCGGACTCTCAACCACTGCGCCACCAGGGAAGCCCGGGATTATTTCTTAATTTCTCTTTCTAAATTCATATTATTGATGAATTAAGAAATACTGAGTACTGACTTTCTTCTTGAATTTCTTCAGCCTACAGCACACAAACATTTGCACTGTATCTAAGTAAACGCCTTTGCCAGTTGCCAAACTGATTTGGATATAGAGAATATCCCCTCAGCTTAAGCTGAACATCTACATTAGCCACAGCAGTATGCTGGGAGATTCAGAGAATATCTAAGTCAATCTGTAGTTTGGGGTCATGAATATCTGGGGAGCATAAAGGGCTAGAGATACTTTGTTTTTACCCCACACTCCCCTTGAATGCCAGAAGGGCAGGGAGCGTTTGCCAGAGCTGGAGTGCGACCACCTTAGTTATTCATGGTCTTTGGGCCTTTCAGCAGAGCACATGTGCCTCCTATTATTCTAGTCCTGTTTCCAGGGCTTTACTTGGGGTCCAGTTCCCTTGACTTTAGAGAATAGCAGGTGCAAGTGGTTGCATGATTTTATTCTTTAGGCCTCAACCTCCCTTCAGAAGCCAGGTCTCTTCTAGATATCAGTGACTCCCCAGTTGTTAAAATCCTCCTGTGTGACAGGAGCCTCCACCTCTTCTGCTCCAGCCCTCATTCAGACTTTCCAGCCTTCACTGCAGAGGCTGCAGAGAAAGCAAACTCTATTTAAAGAATACCTAGACTATCTTTTCCCAGGGCTTGGACTAGGGTGAGGAAGCGGGCGCACCTGTTGTGCAAAATTTAAGGAGACACTCAGTCTCACAGTTGTCCAAGTGTATGTAGGGTTGGCCCTGAGAGCGAGTACCTCCTTAAATCTTGAGCCCCAGGTGTCTCAGCTGTCTCATCCTAGTTCCCACTCTGTCCTCTCCTAGTTCCCACTCTATCCTCTCCATCCTCTTTCTTGCGTCTTGGGAGGCAGCGTGGTGTAATATGATGAACAACTATGTTTTAGTTTGAATCCTGGATGATGCTTGCGAAGTTACTCATCCTCTATAAGACTTGGTTTTCCCATCTTGTAAGTGCTGATAATATAATCTACCTCATAGTATTATTGTTAGAGACTATCTTTCAGTATTTACTGAGATGTTATTTATAAACTGCTTAATGTTTATGACCTGTAGTAGGTTTCAGTAATTCTTTCTCTTTACCCCTTCTTATTTCATAAGAAATGAGGTTGGCATGATTAAATCAGGTCACATAAGACTTCAAGGAGAACGGACTAGTTTCTAATAATTTCTTTTTCCAAACCCAGGATAATAACTTGGTCCCATTTTTTTCTTTTGCCTTTAACTTTTTAGGAGGGAAATCTTCAAACTTATAGAAAGATAGAATAAGAAAATGAAACCCTACGTACCCATCACTCATCTTAAATGATAATTAACTCAAGGCCAATTTTGTGTCATGTGTATCCTCACAACTTCCACCTGGTCCCAACCCTAAATTATTTTTAGGCAAATTCCAGGCATTATATTATTTCATTCATAAATATTTCATTGTGACTACGGAAGACTTTTTAAAAATACAAAAATAATATCTTATTATTCCTAAAATTTTAACAATTCATTACTGTCATAATGATTTTAAATATCCAGTATTCAGCTTTCTCCTACTAGCTCATAATTTGTTCCTACAGTTTGTTTGACTCTGGATCCAAATAAGATGCATCCATTGCAGTTGGTTGGTACATCTTTTAAGCTTTTATTTATCTGTTGATTTTCTTACCACCACACGTTTTCATTCTTCCTTGCCGTTTATGGATCATTTATCCTAGTGTTTCCCACACTCTGAATTTTGCTGGTTTCCTTACCTGTGGCATTTTAACATGTTTCTCTGTCCCTGTACTGCCTGAAATTAGTAGTCAGAACTAGAGATTCAAGTTTGAGTTTTGGGCAAGGATATTTCAAAGATGGTGTTGTGTACCTCCATGAGGGGCTCGTGATGTTTGCTCGCCTCTGTTTTTGTGATATTAGTGACCTTAGATCACCATTTCCCAGATGCCATGTTTCCTTAGAGGTTTTGTCAAATGATAATATTCTCTGTTTTTCCTTCTTCGTTTATTAGCACTTTGGTAAAGAGAAACTTCCCTTCATCTACTATTTGGCTTCCCTGAGATAGAGTTGTAGAAACAAGGCCAGATACCTTCTCTTTAGCTTAATGCCTTCTCTTTATCAGTCTTCAGAATAATGATTTCATTTCTTAACATCCTCCAAAGGGGAGGCAGTGTTGATCTCTGGTTTTTGAGTACTGATATAAACATATGAATTCAAACATAATTGATATGTTTCAGTGCTTTGCAGTTATTATTCTCACTGATGCTCAAACTGTCCCATCTTTGGCCAGTGGGAAGCTCTTCAAGTTGCTTTCTTGGTCCTTTTGACATGACCCTGGTAATCTTCAGTAACTTCCTTGGTTTCTGGTAGGACAGGATATTTCAAGCGCATCCTGACATTTCT